TGTTGATGGATACCAAAAGTGTTTGGTTGAGGTCAAACCTTCTGAGACATTTAACCAAATACTAGTGAGGATGTAAGTATATATTTAAGTCTTTATGCATAGTTTTCGACCCTGTGTGAATTAGAGAAAATTCCAAATAAATTCAAACTTAAGCACCCAGCTCTTATTTTTTAAAGTAATTAAAGATGTATGCTATACCATCATTCCACCATCGAAAAAGGTCAGTTCCAATAAATTATTTAAAAAAAAACAAATTACCATGACATTCATGATGAGTGTATATAAACTTCTGACCACAACTGTATGTTTAAATGTGGAATGAATGGGTGGTGTCTGTAACACTAATATTAGTGCACATCTTTTCATTTTTCTAAGCCTGTCAGCTTTTCAAAGCCTCTGAATGTATTGCAGGAAATATTCATTAAAGCTGAAAAGACTGGAGTTTAAGCTGAACAGTTTCAGAGTCAAAAAGTAGAAGTAATGAAATTCTGGAAAAACACAGACTGGTTGGTTACCACACGCTTTATTTTTCCATCCTTTAGCAGGAATAGTACAAGTATAAATGAGATGGATAAAAGCAGCATGTCTCTTGTCTCTGCGAACACTGTCACATTAGGTCAGCACTCGGTTGGTCAGTCAGTCCATCCAAGTCACCGTGGAAACCACCTGAGAAGACAACCAGAGTAAACTGTGACTGCTGTTCTTTCTGTCACAGACCTTGGTTCCTTTTCACAAATCATATCCCAGTTCTTCTGTTGGAATCATCTGTGTTTGAGCAAAACAAAAAGCAAAACAACATACCATGATCCAAAGAAACAGCTGATAAACAAAGTAGGTGACATCTCTTAGTCTGGAAAGGGTTAGAAGGCCATTTCTAAGGTTTTGGGACTTCAGTGAACCACGGTGAGAGCCATTATCCACATATGGACAAAACCTCGAACAGTGATGAACTTTCACAGGCCAGCCTACCAAAATTACTGCAAGAGTGCATCAGCAACTCATCCAGGAGGTCACAAAAGAACGATTCTTGACCTCAAGCTGAGATCACGAACAGATGGCCGTATATTCTCACTTGGGTTCTGCAGGAGGACAATCATCCAAAGCACAACAGCAAGTCCACCTCAATGGCTTAAGAAAAACAAAATGAAAACTTTGGAGTGGCCAAAGTCAAATTCCCGACCTGAATCCGATTGAGATGCTGTAGCATGACCTCAAAAAGGTGGTTTAGGCTTGAAAATCCTCCAATGTGGCTAAATTACAACAATTCTGCAAAAATGAGCGGGCCGAAATTCATTCACAGCACTGTACAAGACAGACTGCCATTTATGGTAAATGCTTCGTTTCAGCTGTTGTTGCTAAGTTTGGCCCAACCAGTTATTAGGTTTAAGGGAGCGATCACTTTTTCACACAGGGCCATGTAGGTTTTTTCCTCTTAAAAATAAACACCTTCATTTAGAAACTGCATTTTGTGTTTACTTGTGTTATCTTTTTGAACCACTGTATAAACTGGGACATTTTATTCACTCAACAGCTTATCAGGCAAAGTTGGAAATACAAACCCATCAGTTTAGGTGGGCAGAAAATTTAACCCCAGTAAAAATTGCTAACATATTTGTAATGTCTCTTTCCACCTCCACCAGTGAGGTTTCCTCAGGCATGTTTCCTCTTTCTGGATTTCTTACTTAAACTTCACTGTTCTCTTCAGCAATCACCACATAACATATATGATGGTAAATCACAAAAGCCGATTGTACCTTACCTAATAAGTCCAGGACACGCTGATGAAGGCTGGAGCTTCAGGTTCATATGTCAAACTGGCAGATCTGTGTCTGCGAGCAGCTGTGTTACACGTCTGGAAGTTAAAGACAAAGTCCAGGCTTTACAAAACCAAGAGTGATCCATTAATTTAGGACTGAAGCCACTGACAGCAAACATTTGACCTTTTGTGTCAAAACCCTTTTTATTGAATCATCAGATTCATTTTTATTGAATCTGATGATAGTAGTCTCTGAAAGTCGATCAGCATCTATTATATATGGGTCGATTCACCTTTTAAAAATGATGAATTCCGGTGATAACGATGAACAGCAACAGCATTTTCAAAAGCTGAAGAACCTTTTAATGCTTGATGCACTGCAGCCATATCTAACAGCACGGGCAAATTAGGAAAAAAATCTATGGTGTCATGGACAAGAAAGTCTACCACAACATTTTAGTGCATTATGGAGTCTCTTCTGGACCGGAGCTGATTAGTCGTGGGTTCATATACCAACAAGACATTGACCCCAATCATAAGTCAAAGCTGTGCAGACACTATTTGACCAAGAAAAAAAGAATGTGAAGTTCTGGACCCGATGAAATGGCGAAGCGAAAGGTCAGACTTCAGTTCTGTTGAGAAGATTTGAGATTTAATGTATTCAAAGACAGCTCGCTAAAGTTTTATGCAAACCAATTCTCTGTGGACAGCTAGAAGCTATTTGGACATCAATAGCAAAAGACACTATGGATAAGGAACAGTAAATAATGCGCTTCAGTGCTTGAACATTTGCACACTGAAGAGAAAGGTCTATGTGCAGAGCAATGTCTCATGAAATAAGAAAAGATGGCCAGATTTGGTATATCTTTCTATGAACATTTGCCAGTGATGCGTACCGGGATGCAGTTGTTCCCCTGTTTGGGACACAGGTGGAGTTGGCAGTGAAGGAAGATGTCACTAGAGCCCCCAGTGAACCGGAACATGTTGAAGGAGAAGTAAGTGGAGGTTGCCAGTCCGTTTTCCTCCACCTGCACCGTCGGGTCAGCAGAGTTTGCACAGCTGTTCATAAGCAGGAAAATAAACTTTGTTCAGGAGTCCATAATAGCGATCAAAAGTAGTTGAATTAATCTCTGAGCAGCAGCGAGCAACGACCACCTCTGAGTCTCTCTCACCCGTTAATGATCAGATCATGTCTTGGACTGCTGGTGGGTGATGCCTGGTCAGTTGCCCAGCAGGAGTCGGTCACCACACTGACCATGCTTCCATCCAAGCCATCGGTCTTCAACTCCATCCAGATTTTCTGCTTCAACTGAAATTCACTGTTCCACTGCACAAGTTGTGTGCGGGCGGCATCAGTGTAGGCCTTGATAGTCAGAGTGTAATTCCAAGCTCCATGTGTGATGCGCTGTGCAATGGACCTGCAGAATGCACACATTTACACTGTTGTTAACAACAATCCCAACATCTTAAAATACTTTACACAATACCTAGTAGCCATTACAAACCAGTCTCTGATTCTGAAGGTTGCAGTGTTGATGTTCGGCTGACTGTGAACACAGGAGAAGTCGATCTGAACTTGGTCGTTGCGAGTGATAACGCCAGAAGAGTAACTCTGGCTCCTGATGGTGTTCTTATAGATGACGTAGCTGTTGTTGGTCTGCAGGGTCACACAATCAGATACTGGGCAAGTTCTTCATTGTTTCATCTTTAACATCTGATACTCTTTAAGATGTTGACTGACTGGTATAAACTTCAGATGACCAAAAATTTTAGAATTCACAGAGATCAAGGCTTAAACAGCAGGAGATGAAACCCACCGTGACCACCGTCCCACAGCTGTTGCTGCTGTTGAAGCTGAATGTCACCATGTGGGTGAGCTCGTCCATCTGACCCCTGCAGGTCGGGTCATTGAGCTGTAAGGCAGAGTAGTTGATGTCTTTGTCCTCCAGGAGACAACCGACCAGAGTGAGTGAAGCAGAGTTCTCCTTGCAGACCGTTGGATCACCTGAACGTCACAATATCAGTCAGAAAAATCACAGTTAGAAGTTTTCCTCCATTATTCAGCCCTGTTGTCATGATGATATCACAGCTGTCGTACCCAAAGAGTTGTTTTTTTGGTACTTGGAGGCAAAAATGGCCCGACAGAAGCAGCGAGTGTCACCACCGACCGTCTTCTTACCACAGAACTCGTGATTGCTGCAGGTCCTGTCCTGACAGAAGGCCTCAGAGGCTACAGAGGAACACACTGATGTATTATCCTGAAAACATGTGAGCTCTAAAAATCCACAGTTCAGTTCTTTAAGAATGGAGAGCTTATTAATAGGGTGGGTTTTGATTATTGATTTATCAATTAAAATTTATTCTAGCTTGGATAACATGATATCGATTCATTAAAATCCTGAATCGATTTTTTAATATAAATTTATTTTTCCCGAAAAGCCAGAATCTCAGGTTAAACCTCACACAATTTCAACAACCACCAAACAGCTAAAACAGTAAATGAGAGCAGGTACACGGATTCTGCACAAAGACGTAAACATATGCCCGGACCCGCGGATCAGGATCAGAATCAGTGAGATGTCGCCTTTCTCACCCGGCGGCACAGACACGGTCGGGGCTGAAAGCCGACAGCTCACTGATTCCGATGTTTCGGCGGGTACGCGCTTTGTGTGTACGTATTTTTTGCGCTAGATTCCGAAGCTGCAGGTTTTATCTCTCTCCAACCAAAATTCACTGAACCAGCAGCAAAAGAAGCAGCAAACTACGCTTCACATTTGATAAACATCGACGTGAATTCCCTCTTACTTTTGCTGTTTTGCTTCCACCACGATACGATCACACTTCATGCACAGCTCTCTCTCTCTCTCTCTCTCTCTCTCTCAGTCTACTTCAAGAACAGTTTTGTTGAGCTAGATAATAGGTATGCCCTCATTATCATCTGTTGTGGTTTTATTTTGAAAGGATGCTTCCTGTTATGCTGCGGAGTATACGCGAGAGTTCAATAAACAAAGTCACCTTTTGGTGTGAATGTTCCGATAAAAGCCGATGCCCCACGTGTGATTATTCCTCCATCTAGATAAAAAAGTATCTTCAATATTCATACAGATTCTGCTGGAAGACCCGTCTCTGCTAACAAGTTTCCAGTCTAAAAATCTGTTTTCTTCATTATTCGCTTGCGCACAAGTCTACCATTGTTTACAGCGCTGTTGGCCGCTGTTTTTTTCCTTTTACTTACTTCCGAAAAGAAAACCTAATTTCTGCTGTTCAATAGGCTACTGAACAAATTTAAACTTTTTAAAATTGTGCAAAATTGCAAAACGTTTAGCTTTGTCTCTAATAAAACCTCTGTAACTTTGCTCTGCTTCACTTCAGCAGCATCAGGTACTGTTCATATGCTGATTAATGGTTTTCTTTTTTTTTCTTTCGTTTTTGATCTACTACCGAATATTTTTATAAAATCTCAGGCCAGGAAAATCACCTTCACGTTTTTCTGTGTTTTATCCTCAGTTACTTTGACACAAATGCATCTGCTGTGATGCTTTCACCTTTGATAAAGTCTCGCAAGTGTCAGCTTTCTCTTTATAGATATAAAAATATAGAAATGTACTGATGCATGATCTGAATTATAATATTTCTGACTGTCTGAGGCCAAATTTCCCCGATTCAAATCAAATCGAATCGAATCAGAATCGAATCGAATCGATTCTAGAAATCAGTGACGATCTGACGTCTTATTAAGGTCTTATTAACATCTTACAGCAGCTGGTCTTTGATGTCCAGCCATCCAGAGTGTGGTTGTGTAGACTGCTGGCTCTGGCATAGGCCTTCAGGAACTGACAGTTGAGTCCGTCCACTGCAGGATATTTGCACAAAGTGTTGGTGCAGGCGGTTATGTAGGGTTCCGGGTCGATGTGACTGTTACAGGAGGAGAAGGGCGCCTCCTTCAGGAGATTACAGCTGTACCACAGATAGAGAAACAAAATTGAAGACAATAAAATAATAATCTGTAATCAGTTGTGTTTATCTTCCATCTATGCTGCAGTCACATGTGATGTACCATATAATTTACAACAGAGATCAAGGTACAACACAGATGTTTCCTGCTGTGTGGATCAGTCTGCTCACCGTTCAGTCACACTGGTGCAGTTGATCGTGCTGTCAGCAGGCTCACTGTACTGCATCTCACAGCTAGGGGGCGACAAACAACAAAGTTCAGGCTCATTCATACAAACACAGAATATCTGCAACATCAG